GGTGTTGACTGGAAGATTAGATTTTTTGTAAGTCATGACTATGATGATGGCATACCAATGGAGTCGGAACATAAACTGGAGAAGTAACACCGAAAAAATGGAGTCAGTGCTGGCTAACTTTATCAAGATCCTTGTTGACTTACAAAAATATAAAATTAATAATAAGTAAAAACAGTTACTACCTGTTTTTTCAAGCTATTAATTAGTACTAGTAATACTTTTCATACAGTGTTACTTAGGAAATAAAATTACCCAAAGTAATAATGTATGCACAAGTGAAAGATCCAACAATAGTTATATAGAAGAAATTTATTAATATACAATGAAGTGATAGGAAGACAGAGAGGGAAGAGGTGATGGAATAACCTGTAAGCCACAACTCCAGCGATAGTGACATAGTAATTTGCAAGCTCCAGAGAACTGACTTTAAGATTTAATGTGTTTCATTTCGAGAAGATTTTGGAGTATTAGTTTTTGAATGGATTTCCATGGGGTGGAGTTTTCAAAAGAAAGAGAAAAGGGTGAGGGTCGTAGATCTAAAGACATTAGCTGTCGTCTGAAGGACATCTCTCAGGTAGCATTTCCAGCAGTTTTCTGTGAGGGAAAAGATAAGGAAGAAAGTAAAAAAATGATTGGGCCTATTGCATTGGGAAAAAATTCTGATGGCAATCTTTACTTAATACTTATGTGGTAACCTATGTAGATCTTGTATTCTCGAATCAATGATTTTATGGGGCATTTGATTTTCTGAGATACGTAAGAATAGTTGATACTTTTTGGTTACATAATTTAGTTTTCTAACTTTCCTGCAATATAAGTTTAGTACGATTACACTAGTGAAAGTAATCCCTTCTTTTTTTCTCGTGGATGATTTTCATCTTGAGTTGGTTTGTCTTAAAAAGGAAGCCGAGAGAAAAATGTTACAGGAATACTAGTCTCTTCCTTCTTTCTTTGGATCTTGGAGAGGGAAGCTGCTTGCGAATTGAGGAAGCAAGGGTCCTAATTAACTGGCATTCTTTCGCCCCCAGGGCTTTGGTCTAGTGGCAAGAGTGTAACAAGCGCACGTCATGAGGTTGAACCCTGCCATAGACAAAAACCTGATATTTAAGTGGTAAAGGATAGAGGGGAGCCCATTATACACCAAGTTTTGAACCTTGTGCCACTGGTACTTGGAGATTTCTCGGCTATCAAAAAATATTAAGTTAACGGCTAACATACCATATATAGATCATGGATGGTGAATGTCTTGACAGGAAAAGAATGGAGTGTTTGTTGAAAGAAAACCCTCTGTGGAGTTCATTTTGATAAAATGATATTTTACTTTTATATCCCCTGCTAAAGTAGTCATAGGGAGCCTCTGGCATCTGATAAGCAATTTGGTAAGACAATTGCTTGAGGAATCCACTGTTAGTATTTATTTTTGTTTTTATCATTATGATCAACTGTTTACATTTACAAAAGCATCTTTTTTGCTCTTATTTGTTCTTCCATTATTTGGTACCAGCCTCTGATAAACTGCTAACCACTGCACATACAACCAAAAGGATTATAGAGGCTAAAAGGTGAAAAAGAGGAGAAATTAATTTCCTACTTTCCTATACCTGTTCATTTGATATTCTGATATAGACTTGGAAACCAATTACGGAGACAGCCACTTGAAATTTGTTTTGTTTAAGATTGTAGCAGATGGATACTTCTTAATAGTGTTTAGATGAAAATAAACTCCAATTCCTTGTATACTTGTTACTTGTGTTTAAAATGAACAGAAGCTTCATTTCCTTGGTTAAAATTTCACTTCATTTTGAACAGGTTGTTGGGGTAAAAAAAAGACAAGTTTCTATAGGTTCTGGGTCGAAATCCAGGGATAAAGTCATCATCGTGGAGGATGTTACTTTACAGAGTGTTTTTGATGGTCTAAACAAAGTTTTGAAAGATCAATGACTGAAACTACTGACCCATGGTATCTTCATGTGGTATTAGACAAGGCCCTACTGGATCAAAAGAAAAGTATTTTCTTCAACAAGGCACAACTCAAGATTCTTATTAGCAACTATAAACATGCATCACCAGATTTCTAACTCTGATTGTGTATATATTAGGGGCCAACTATGCAACTACTAGAGAAGTTCAGTTGCTCTTGCCGGATTCAACTTCTTATTCATACCTATATTTGCATAAAAACAATTTGTGTCATTCTGCCTTAGTTAAAATGTTTTATGTTTTGACGTGAACAGGCTGATTAGTCAATTATGTCTTGAGCTTTATGGTGGCGAAACAAAAGAACTGCCTTTGCAACCAAAAGATTTGTTTCTCAGATGAATGTTGTAGCTTTGCCTTGTCGAATTGATTGTAGATCTTTTCTGAAGTACCTAAACTGAAATTGCTGGATTTTTTAAATCTATGATATGCTACAAATTTCACTTGGCACATGAGCAAATCACACAAAAGCTCCTGCTTGTGAATCTGCTGCTTAGCTTGCAAGTCCATAAACTTTGAACTAATATGCATTTAAAGTATCCTGTACAAAGCAAAGAGAGTAGCTAAGTTTCTTGGTTGATTAAGGTACTTTCAACCATGTGAAAAACTTAGACCATCTGTATTGACCAACTTTATAGAGTGTGGAAATTAGCTACTACTATTAGGTTCCCAAAAAGACAACACTCAGGTTTTAGTACTTATGTGAAGGACTTCTTTCTTTTTTAATGTTAAGGATAAAACAAGATATTAGGTTAATAGAACTTATGTTGAAGACTCTATTATAGACATGACTAGATTGGGGATACTGCACTTTCTGCTATGGCATTGATAAGGGGGAAGTGGTACATTTTGAAAGAGCCAATGGAATGGGACAAAATCGAGTCATTTTGTGGGGTTCACCGTAATACTTTGCACAATCCTTTAGAAATAACGATTAATATTAATATATCTTCTTAGATGCTCTTCCAATCTACCCTTCTCCCTTCTAATAATGCCACTATTCCAACACTCTAAAAACATCTGCTTGCACTTTCAATGGCTAATTTGTGGCCACAAGTGTGAGAAAATAATCTCTAGTCCATGTCTACTAATTTATCAAGTATATATATGTATCAAAGGAATAATCACCCCCACATATATATTTAAGAGACAATATTACGGGTTTTAAATCTACTTTTTAAATATTACTACTTATAACATTTTAATTGCGAGTTATAACATATCATTTTTTTATTAAAAATTAATTAATTCAATTTTATTAAATAATTAGTCTTTTTATAATAATATTTTATAATTTAATTAATAGGTTATATAAATAAAATTAAAATAGAGAATCAATCGTAATTATCTAATACACATTTTTAGGGATTTTTTACTTTTCAAATACACTTTTTTTACTGTCACAAGTCAACTATCCACCCCCGCCACATTTCTGTCCAATTCTCACGCTATCACCCCCACCCCACCCCCACGTTCAAACTGAAAAAAATTCCTCTCTCACCATATTCATCTTCTTCTTCACTATTCAACCATAAATCTCTCTCACCATATGCTCCAACACATAACTTGGTATATCCACATTTTATATACCTATTTCAAGTAAAAAGTCATCACTGATTCATACAACATTCATAACAAAAGAAAACCAAAATTATACCATTTTCAACTAGTAATTGTTATTTATTAAATAATCAGTATACCAAATTTATTCCATTATTACGCCCAAATCCATACAAATATAATGCCAAAAAAAGTTCAATCATACCAGATTCACAAATTTCATACCAATTTTTTGCACACTTTCTATACATATTTCATCACCGATTCATACCAAAAGAATATAACAATTATACCATTTTGAACTAGTAATTGTCATTTATTATAAATAAACAGTATCCAAAATCACAAATAGTACAAAAAACAATATGAAATTTCATACATGTCTAAAATATCTAGTATACCAATTTCATCAAATTTTATGTAATTTTTTAAATAAAAAACATACCAAAAAATGAAAAATGTTTCATACCAAAAACTAACAACGCTATACATTAAAAAAAACTCAGTTTTTTTGCAATCAATTACATAAAAAAAATTGAAAAAAAACACTAACATGAAGGATCCCATCGACCACCATGTTTTATTAATACTGATAAGAAACCGCTCATTACAAGAAAATGACGATTATTGAACAAAAATAAATTCGAAGTAGATGAGAGTGATGACTAAAAATATTGTTTGAACAAATTAGAGAGAGAGAATATTGAGAAGAGAGAGAAACTGTTGAAATTATTTTAAAAATAAATCTGTTTGAAATAACTATTTTGACATAAAAAAAAAGGAAAAAAAATATTATATTTTCTTATGACTCTCCTATTTTTATGCCTCCTTTAATTATCATTAATATTTTCAAATTGTTTGTTACTCAAAGTTCCGTTTTTAATTTTTTTTTCAAACTAATTGATTTTTACTGCTTTTTTAAATCCTTTTTTAAATAAGTGAAAATGTTACAACATGTAATTATTTATTGTTATAACTTGAAAGTTAAAGATTAATGTTATAACTTATAATTATTAGTCCTATAAATGTCAATTATAAAATTTCACTAAAAAACTCAGTTTTTTTGCAATCAATTACACAAAAAAATTCGGAAAAAAACACTAACCTGAAGGATCTCATCTACCACCATGTTTTATTAATACTGATAAGAAACCGCTCATTACAAGAAAATGACGATTATTGAACAAAAACAAATTCGAAGTAGATGAGAGTGACGACTAAGAATACTGTTTGAACAAATTATATGAGGGAGAATATTGAGAAGAGAGATAAATTGTTGAAATTATTTTAAAAATAAATCTATTTGAAATAACTGTTTTGACATAAAAAAAGAAAAAGAAATATTCTATTTTGTTATGACTCTCCTATTTTTATGCCTCCCTTAATTATCATTAATATTTTCAAATTGTTTGTTACTCAAAGTTCCGTTTTTATTTTTTTTAAAAAACTAATTGATTTTTACTGCTTTTTTAAATCCTTTTTTAAATAAGTGAAAATGTTACAACATGTAATTATTTATTGTTATAACTTGAAAGTTAAAGATTAATGTTATAACTTATAATTATTAATCCTATAAATGTCAATTATAAAATTTTCGCTGTATCAAATATAGTATAGAGACTAGAGTAATTATTGCCTTGTTAGCATTTTCAAATTCATTTATCATGAAAGTACAGTGGGACGATACGAAGGCAAAATCTGAACAATTATATGAACCTTCAAAATGGCTACACGCCTAGGGTTAGGCATGGTTTGATATGATGTGGAATTTAAAATTTTAATACGGTATTTTGATATTTGATTTTAAAAATCATTATTATCATACTAATTTAATTTGGTATGATTTGGTATTTTGAAGTTCGATTTTGACATTTTGCGGTATGGATAAATTAGTAACAATGGTTTGTTCAACTTCGACTAATATATACTCGAATAATAGAGTATTATGACTTCGACAATTCAGAAAGAAGTCTCAATTGTATAATACTAAGGACCCGTTTGGCCCCAAGAATACTTGGGAAAAACTTGGGAAGTGGTGTTTGGTCATATAACTTGGCAAATATATTTGTCAAGTATACCAAGTTCTCAAATACTAGAAAAAAACTAGTGTTTGGGTCAAGTTCTAATATTTGGGAATTTTAAAAAATTCAAAAATTACCCCAAACCTTTATATTTTATAAAAGAATACTCATTATTTATTAATTCCAACTAATATTTGTTACTGCCTCCTCCGAAAAAGTTGGAGCTCTAATTTAGTGATAAAATTAAGGAAAAAGAACGATTTGTGTTTAATGGATTATAATTGTAACTGAATCAGCGACAAATTTGAGTATCTGATTAATGTATTGTCTTGCCTATATTGTTATTTTGTTATTGTTATTGTTATCAATTATATTATAAGGTTATTTTTTAACAGAACATATTTATTATAAAATGATAATATAAATTTATGTATATTTTAAATAATTTTTAGAACTTGTGGGTATAAATCATATTTTTGAAATAGTCAAATATTTTTGAGAAAATTTGTCTTGAGTATGTGATTAATGTACTGTCTTACCTATATTGTTAGTTTGTTATTGTTGATTGTTATCAATTATATTATAAGTTTATTTTTAACGAAACATATTCATTATAAAATGATAATATAAATTTATTGGTATTTTAAATAATTTTTAAAACTTATGGGTATAAATCATTTTTTTTTTAATAGTCAAATATTTTTGGGAAAAATTGGGGCCAATGGTGAAACTTCACCCAAATATGATTCGCCAAGAATATTTGAGAACATGAGGCCAAACGCTAGCTAAGTCTCAATTGTATAATACTATCACATTATACATGTACAAATATATATTCAATAGAAAGTACAAACAACTCCTTCAATTACATATAAAATACATTTCAATCAAAATAGACTAGTCAAAGTTTCAATTTCTAAACATTTAGTTTATACTAATACTAGATTGCATATTTGTTAATATTTTAATAATATATACTCCCTCCGCCTCATTTTATGTGAGGTACTTTGACTCGGCACAAAGTCTAAGAAATGAAGAAAGATTTTTAAAACTTGTAGTCTAAAATGAATGATAGAAATTTGTGTGGTTATAAATCATTTCATTAAGGATAACATGAACATTTTAAAGTTAAATTGTTAATTAATATGAAAATGTGTCATTCTTTTTTGGAGTGACTAAAAAGGAAAGTAAGTCATATAAATTGGGACAAAGGGAGTACATGTTATTTATGTGACTATATACTTTGGGTCATGCCGCTATAGTAGGGTGAGTCAAAAAAGTAGACTGGTTAACATAGTTGGTAATGGTCTTGTTATTCGAGAAATCTCTATGTGATAAAAAGGTTAAGGTATGATCTTATATTAGGGTGACATAAAAAGTAGGCTTGGGAAGCCTTACAATGGCAAAAGGGTAACGCTGAATGTTTTAATGATAGAGTTGGCAGCATAATGAGGTAGGAAACTGAGATCAAAGTGTGCTAGTTATGGGTATTATATCTGGGATGGTGAAAGCGGGTGGATAAAGACTTGGAGTGGTGGCACCTTATCATTGCATGTTTCTTATGAATGTCTACTTTATATTATGTGGTAGGTTCGGGTCGATCGATAATGCCTATCATTACGTGTTGTTTGTACTGATACTATTCTTGCTATATCACTTGCCATAGTCTGATTGCAGGAATTCAGTGATATTTCGTAGGTGAAGATGATGATGATCTCCAACAACTTCCATCTTCCTTTCCTTATTGTGGAAGGTGTGTCCT